TGACTTAAATGAAAGCCTCCTGGTGGCCAAACACCTTATTAAGATACTTCATGTCATGTTGTCTCCATAGTGTCATTCATAAAAGAAAACACAGTGAAAGAGAAACTCTTTCTCCTCCTTGTATTTGAACTAGAAAACTCCTTGTTCTGATTGAACAGTATATGGGAGTGCACAGCAATAAAGGAAAAATATTGTCTGTCTGTTCCTTGATGTCACACACAGCTGCACAAATACAGTTCTATAGGTGCATTAAAAGAAAACCACAAGTATAGATTCTCTTTTGTCTCCCTGTTGTCTGTTATTTTTGCTGAACTTCATGCATGAATGTGCGTCTTCCACACTCCTTGTATTCCAGTCTGTGTTGTATGTCTGTTTTGCATGCATGTGCGCTGTGTAAGGATGTGTAAGTGTGACGATGTGTGTGTGTGTGTTAGTGGCCGTCGGGAGAAGTGGAGCCAAAATGAAGCCTTATATAACCAGCTTCAAAGCGAGCTGCAGTCGGCCGGCGATACAGACACGGCAAAGCACGAGGAGAGAGAGGGGAGAAAACAGTTTCACAGAGAGGAGGATAAAAGAAAGAGAGTGCGTGGAGGAGAGGGGGTGTAAACAACTTTAGGTGGCAGTTACTTTATGCACAGTAGGTGCAGTAAAGGTGATGGGTTAAAACACCTGGAAAAGAACAAGTTTATTTTAGGTCTAAAAAAACTATAATAACGTTTTGCTGGATGTTCTTTTTTAGCCCCGTGCTAAATCTATCACTGTCTATTCTGGGTGTGTTATAACTGCATTTGCTGTTCTTCTTTTTATCATCTACAGACAGGTGTGTGTGGGTGTGGAGGGTGTGAAGGGGGGTCAGTTGCACACGCTTTTGTCGCCTCAGCACCTTTGATTGGGAAAAGTGAAATCTCCAGAAAACCAGCTATTTTTCCTCCCTCTGCTTGATTCACACCGCTAGGCTCCTCGCCCACTCGTTGCAAAAAGATGTCAAATCAAGCTCAGTTTTTACTCTTTTTCTCAGCGTGTTGCCAGCCTGGTAATGGTTGCTTGATTTCTGCTTTTCCCATTTTGTCATTTTCCTCCCCCAAAGACGTGTTGTGATGTCTGGTTTCTTTGATAGGCATGTTACTATTTAAAGCTTTTTGTCACTTGAATAACTTTTTCAAAAATAGTTCTGACGGGCATCCGTCAATAGCATGTCCCTATAGTTTTATATTAAAACAAACCCCTTATATGATAATCAATTAGCTGCAGATTATGCTGCTTTTACTCCCATTAGATTCAGCTTTAAAGACAATTATGCTGCATTATCTTAACAGAGAAAAAGCAGTTCATGGAAAAAAATCTGAACTCAAGGTCCACTTGCTAGCTTTGTCATGGCTTCAACTACATCTCACTGTCCTCAGCACAATGAGCTTGCTCAGGTCTTCATCAGGAAGACGCTCCAGGAAAAGCTAGTAAATGGGCCTTGAGCTACGAGAACAACTGTTTCCAAGGTCAACAGCGAACTCACATGCTCTGCTTTGCATGTATTTATATTATTATAAACTTCACCTTTCAGGATTTTTAAATAACAGATAATTTTATACCCTGTCAGGTAAAATAATAACAAAAAAGAAAAGAAAGCTTGAGATTGTTACTACTAGGAAAATATTGTAAGACTCAGCTTTTAGGTCATAAATATTAAATTTCAGAGTAAATGTTTTTATTCCATTAGCAGTCATAAGCCTTTTTCTTGTTAAGTGTTACATTAAGCAAGCAGTCAAGTAATGTACTATTTATTCCAATACATGAATGCAGTATTTATTTCTAGAGGCTCTGTGGATGGCAATGTTGGTCCACTGCTTTGGTCCAGACTGAAATATCTTAACTATTGGAACTATTGGACTGATTGACAGTCATGGTCCCAGAGGATGAATCTTAATGGCATTGATGACCCCCTTACTTTTAACCCATTGTCACCAACAGGTCAAATATATCACTTATCCAGTGCAATATCCACATGTGCTTGATCGATTGTCACATAATATAGTATAACATTCATGTTTCCCAGACAGTGAACCTTAATGGTGATGGCCTGACTTTTCCAATAGGGCCACCAGCAGGGTTTACAAAACTGATAACATTCCCATCAGCCACAGCAATACTCTGTGTGTTTTAATTAGCAAATTTTAGCATGTGAACATATGTAACACATCCTGGACTGGAACATTTTGCCAGCGTATATATATATGTAGGTATTACATTTTCTACAAAACACAAAACCTGGTTTATACATCTGATATTAAGGGGAGAGAGTGGCACCAGTCAACCAGGGGCTCAAGTAACAAAGGACCAAATGTAAAAAGAAAAAGTGCACTTGTGCAAGTCGCAGCCACTCTTGACAGTTCTTTTCATTTCAGCTGACATGCTACAGTGCATTACAGAAGCTATTTTTGATAGAGCCACAGCAAGTTGCACAGAGCAGATAGTTTTCCTGCTTACAGGCAATGTATGTAAAATGTATATAGAATATAATTATGAAGATTGAATGTATCTTTAATGACCTAAACACAGCCAGAAATCCTTTATTTATTGACCAGTATTAACTTTGTCTGTAGGCTACAGCACAACAAAGTAGGAAACAAGAAAGAAAAGGAACCATTTAACTGCCTGCTTACTGCGGAAACTGTACCTGGTGGAATTGTCTCTCCTGGCTGCCTTACAGTCAAGATGGTGGAGAGGCTAACAAGGGTCGAATTTGTTTCGTAACATGCCTAACTTTAGTGGATCATAACATGTTGGGTATGGGATTAATCTGCACTTGCTCAGGTTAAAAATAAGAGAAAACGTTTCTATATATGTACATTTTTCAGCCACGACGAAGGCCAAAATGTGGCCTGCAACAGGCTAGGTAAGGCTTGTTGTTTTACAGCCTTGGTGATTTCTGGAAAACTTGCAGACCCTACCAGCTGGTTAGAAAATAGTCAATAAAACAGATTTTTCAACAAGTAAGAATCAACCATGAAAGATCCTTGAGCATAGAGTCTTACATGTGCACACATGAGGCTGATTGGTCCAGTAGTTTGCAGGATTACCTGCAGACAGGCAGAACCACACACTCACTCACTAATATACACCCAAAAAAGTGCAATAATTTAGCAACTCTAATGGACTTAAAGGAAGAGCCTGCGCTTTATGTTTCCTACTTGGAAACATCACATCTTAACTCAAAGTCCACTTATTAGCTTTTATCTTGAGCTTTCAGCATAGGTTGTGTTCTTCACTTCTTAAATTCTATCCTGATTTTATTTTGTGTGTCTGGCTTGATGTAACATTTTGGTGCATACTCTAATTTTGGAATTTTGAAGTTCTCATTGGATTTTTGACAAATACTCAGCAACCTTGTCGGCTGTGCTCTTAACCTTTCTTTCCAAAACCCTGATGAGGAGCAGACTCTTCCAGTAAGTCACTTAGTGTTGTGTTATGTAAGTTATTTTTTTCACCACTGAATAAAATCCAGTTTCTTTGCCAAACCTCAAGTTCCCAAAGTGGGTTTATGACATGAAAGCAAAAAGCGATGAAAGGTGAAGAGTATTTTTGTAGTAGTTCTTACTTTGTGAATGCCGAGGTGAAGAGTATTTTCTCCAAGCAGTCACCCGCTGAAAGATGAGGTGAATAGAATACGTATCTGGTTTTTGTTTGTCTCTTTTCTGTGACATCTGTACATGAATGAAGCGAACAAGAAAAACAACAGGTGCGAGGATGATAAAACAAGATCAGATCTGATTTTGTGGTATTTTTCTTCCGGATAATGACTCTATGAGAAAAACGAGTGGGAGGGTTGATGGCACAGAAACCACTTCGTCACAGTCAGGTTCCTTGAATGTGACACAAAAAAAACAAAAACCTTGAGATGATGATGGAGGGAGGAGAAGAGGTTATTTTCTCTTTGATTCCCCCTCCGTGGGCGTCTCTCCTGCTTTCTCTCTCTATTTTCTTCTCTTTCTCTTCACCACTCTTTTAATTTACCAAAAACAGCCAGTGGGCAGATGGGGATCAAATTACATTCACCTTTTACCTGCACTCCTCTGCGCAATTAGCGTCACGCTTACTTGTCATTTCAAATTGACACACTGCTGTTGTGCTATGTAATTATTTACCTGCCTGGGGAATAGCTCTCTGGTTTAACCACTAAATAATGACAAACACACACACTCCAAATCACAAAAGCACCTGTGCCCTGTTTTATCAGGAACATGTTTAACATGCTTTTTACCATTACAGGGTCATTGTGTATATGGTTGTCTAATTAAAGGAGTCTTTGTGTTCAGTGTGTCAATCGAAAACAGTCTAATTGACTAATGTTGTGCAACTTCCCTTTCAAATTTTCTATGTGCTTTCACTGCTGAAAGGTTGGCGTTAAGATTTTGGGGGGTTTGAGCATCAGGACCTGAACCCATCATTTCCTCCTATAGGTGTCCACTTCTTTGCCTGTTCTTTTTTTAAAATGTCGTTTTTCTGGTCATATGGTGGGAAGGAAAAGGGCTGGGTCCTGTTCTTCAAACCACAGAGGCCTTATTACTCCACACTCCCTTTTTCCCCCCCTTCACCAACCCCACCCACCACCCACCCAGCTCCCAAAAAAAGAAGTTAGGCTCAGGGAACAAACAGGGTTTAAAGGAGAGAGAGGAAGAGGGACCATAAACAATGGCAGCCGTTTTCTTCTGCAGGGGGAGAGAAGGAAACCACATCCAGAAACAGTTTTCTTTGATCTTGTGTCTTTTCTTGTGATAAATCTGTGTCTGTGATGCCTTTTGTTTTTGCTTTTGTACTCTTTTTAAAGGGAAAAAAAAAAGAAAAAAAAAACCCAAAACAATAAGCAAACCATGAACTCTTGCTGATTTGTCCTTTTTGCTCTTTCTTCTTTTCTTTTTTTGATATTCTTTTTTTTCCGTTTTTGCCAGTAATCTTTTTTGAATTTTCTCTTTTCTCTTTTTCCCCCCTTTTTTTCTTAACCCTAGGTCCGCTCACAAAAAAACATGATGAATCTTCAATGAACAAGCCTCGAGACGAAGGTATTTTTGTTGCATGTTTTTCCTTTTTTCTTGTTTTGAAGTCTTTTTGGGGGATGTGTACACATAGAGTGGAAAACACACACACAAGTCAAACATCTCTTAGGTGGGACTTTGGGTATGAGGTGCATACCAATGTGTTGGTGTAAGTGTATGTGCTGACCGTTGCAATTAAAAAGCTGTCTTTTCCTTATGCAAATCATTAGCCTTATGTAACCTCGGATGATCATAACACCTGGCTAATGGAACCCAGATCCCCCTTCATTATAAAGTCATCTGCGGGCAGTTGTGTGTGTTTTCCAGAGGTCCTCAACCGGCTCTCAAACAAGAGAGAGCCTCGGACATCATCATCACCACTGTGCCCTTGAAAATATATTGGCCAACTAACAGCATTGTCCCAGCGCAACAAAGCACCTATTGAGACCTGCTTACACAATGAGGTGCATTATTATTGCACCTTAATCCCCGATGAAATTGCTATTGAGTAAGGACCTACACAAATATTAAGCTAGCCTCATTCCAAGTCAGTGATGATAACATCAAATCAAGGAAGGAAAAAAGAATGGGGACACCCAAGGACACTTGTGCCCTGCTTTGGAAGATTTGGTTTTAATCGGCTGCTACAATAAGGACACAGAATTCACAGCCTGCTGTTAATTTATCTCCCACCTGCAGCACATACACTGTGGAGGTGATTTTATCTGCACTTTCATCCCCCCCTCCCCACCACCACCACCACCCTTGTTCTTTCGGACTTGTTTCTTGGAGGAAAAAGATGACTGATGATATTTTGATACATATTTCTCTTTATGCTATTTTTAAAGGTTGTGCGGGTGAATCTTTTTTCTTGCTCCATGATGCTCTTTGATTTGGGGTATTTTTTTTTTTAAGTTGGGGAGTCGGAGGAAGTTTGACACAAGAGGATTTTCTTGGTGATCAAACGCGCTGGCACAGACACAGCTTTTTCAGCTGCCACAGTCGAGCAGAAAGAGTCGAGCCCAGTCAAGACACTCCACCTTCCTCTGAATATGTCTTTCATCCCTAATCTCGATTGACATCACGTGATTGGGAGGTGCTGATCCCAATACACTAACTCAGCAACATGCCAAACTGGTATTCAGCTCATTTGAAAAACTGGAGTCAGTCACAGATGGGGTAAAGGAAAATGCATATAATCTTCTTTGCTAAGACTACAGATACACATAGGTTGGGGGAAAACGGGTAGCCTGCTCCCACAGGGCAGGGACTGCATATTATTTAAATACACTGGGATCAGAGCCATAGCAAGGATTTTGGAAATACTGATTATAATTATAAATACAATCCCATTCACCCAAAAAAAAGTGTGACAACTAGCCAAAAAGGTCAGTGTCTTCAATCATCGGTGCATTTAAAATGTTTAATGTATGTCCCCACATGATGGTCTAAATGCAGTTTGAAAGTCTTCCTCACACTTCTGCTGGGGACATACTAAGGCAAGAGTCCACTTAAACCTGTCCTTTGCTTATTGGTACTTTACTTAGATGTTTGAGCTTCACTGTGCACAATGATGTATGAGCAGATCTTGACACTAGAAGGCTGTTTTCACATCCATCTGCTGAAAGGGGGAAAGTTTCTCTGTGCTTATATTCAATCTGAGATTAAGACAAGAAAAAAAATAATTTTATGACATCACAACTGGTCTGGAAGCCAGTCATGGTCCAATATGTAACTTACATGAGTTTGATATGCAAAGTTGAGGCCTCCAGCGCACATACGCTGAGAACAGTTTGTGTCCAGCAGTTTGAAAGAAACAGCATTAGCATATTCATAGATTCAGGATTTTTCAGCACGGGAGAATAAGCAGATGTGATCTTAAGAATATTAAATGAGGTAATCAGACTTTTTTTGTGGAAAATCCATATCAGACACAAATTGGTATTCCAAGTGAAGTATTTTTATATGTCTCAAAACATGTCTGCAGAGGATCTATAAATAGCAGAACCAGCCCTCAACGCTGCGTGTAACTGCAGAATATGAATTGCTCCTCATTTGCTCCAGAATTTCCAGAAAATATACCAAGGACATGAACTGGCCTATGGCTAGCTAAAGCCCTGCTGGCAATCACTGTAAGAGTCAAGCTGGTAAAACAGATAGCAGGTATATTGAAACACAACAGCAGTGTGTTTCATTGAAGTAATCAGCTTGTAACAACACCTGAAACAGGATATTTAGCAGACTTCTTTTCCAAGCAGTTGCTCATTTGGATGCAGAAAAAGTGTGTTATTAGGCTGGAACCAAAAAAAAGTTGGAGTGCCTTTGTACAATGTCTGCATTGTGTAAAAATACAGTAAGACAGCACAACAGGCCGTTATTTGCAGTATGACCTTTTGGTTCCAACTTGCCTTGTTGCAGTGGTCCTCCCAGAAATCTTTTACAGGGGTGGTCAGAAGGGGCCACTGAAAATCTTGGAGTGGCACACCAAAACCAAAAGCTAGAACTGTCTTAATGTGTCATGTGTACATGTACATGTTAGGCGATTCATTGTTCTTCAAATAGGCTGGCTCTCCTTTTCCTTTAAAATAAATGTACAGCTTTAATTTAAAGGAGCACATTGATTGTAGGGAACACAAAATATTTGTTGCGACCGAGCCTTCTCCAGTTTCGGGGGGGCTCATTGGTACCCATAGAACCCATTTTCATTCAGATATCTTGAGGTTAGACCTCAAAGAACCACTTCGAAAATGGCCATGCAAATTGATGCCTTGCCTAAATTTGAAGCATTATTCAGCCCACTTCCCTACAAGTCTGCTGACAAAAATGAGCATAAAAGATAATAGCTATGCAGCCTTTTAAAGACAATAATATCGGCCTCCATTTCTTTTTGCAAGGGGGGGCGGGCAGTGAGGGGGCAGCAATTGTATAGCGTTACCCCCCAGCCCCCCTTGGTGACCCCACTGCTGAGTTGAAATGATTCATACACATACTCAAGGCTGTGATTCATGGACTCTGTTTCTGAGCCGCTCCTAAGCCTGACCTGTGCAATCTTCCACCCTGAGGCAATGCACTGTTAACAGCCAAAGACCTGCAATGGTTTGAATTGCACAAATTAAATTCCAGTGCAAGAATCCAGATTCAGAGTGCAGACACAGTTATAATCTCACATTAAAGTGGAAGCATCCCTCCCCGGTTGGTTCCCTTAGTATTTTTTCCAAACAACAAAATAACATCCTTAACATGCCAGACAATTTTCAGTGCAAGAAGCGAGAAAATACATGGCCAGCTTTTATCTGATAACAGCGGCAGGCCGGCACAATCGCTTCATCCATTTTGTCCACCATTTTGTCCTCATTCTTTCAGCCGTGCATCAACAGCCTTTTCAAATGTGGCATGCTTTGAAGCCGTATATTCTAGGCCACGCAGAAACCTATTCATGAGCTATTCTATTCAAGTAAATAGTACATACTGTACACCCAAGAAGAGCAGCGAGGAATTAAAGCAGCATCCTCCAACCAGAGAGATGACTTCATTCAGAGGCAGCAGCGGCTCTCTCTGCTCTGCATCAGGTGTGAGAGAGCAAAGGCTATTGGGCCGCAGTGCTGCTCAGTGTTGATGTTCAAAAAGATTGATAGGGCTTAAAGCACAGCTCTGTGTATAGGTGTGTGCGTGTGTGTGCGTGTGTATAGAGGAGAGGATTACAAACCAGAGCGAGATTGAGCTAAATCAAGAAAGAGACAGAGAGAGTGTGTTACTATGCCATCCTGTGTGTCAGCTCTGATCAGAGACAAACCAGAGCCACCTGAGCCCCGAACCTGGAACATATTTCTGCCAGGAACAATGTCACCTCTCTCAGACTCACATACACACTCACACACACACACACACACTAATATAAACAGGGCCACACAAATCCAAACATTGACATGCTCGTAAAATGAAAATGCTCCATCAAAACAAAATTGACAGACACAGATGAGGTGCAGTTTATAGCATAACAATTTACATCACAGTGCATAAAGCCATGAAGTGCACAGATAAACCAACACTTTTACCATCCATGAGAACAACATACATGTGTTATATACATCGAGAATAAAAATCAGACTGAAAATATAAGGAAAAAACAATGCAACATTTGTCGGAAAATCAAATAATATCAAAACAACAAAGTACACATTCACACAGGCAGCGTAATAAGGAGATTCAATCAACTACCATCTCTTCAACTCTCCACATGCTTCATTATTTTTATTCTGAAAAGAGGAAAAGGGGAGACTGAAGAGAGCTCCAAGAGGTTATATTAGGTTATGTTAGAGGCAAGCATGATGCAGTACTTCATTAGATTCTTATGATCTGCAATCTGCAGCCAGAAACTTCAGCATCCTCATATGCCAGGTCCCTGAAATGCTAAAAAACCATTGATGTCAGCCACCAGCAAATTACATCCAAAGTAGAACCTCCAAGATGAAATCTTTTGGTCTTAAAAAAAAAAAAAAAAAAAAAAAAAAAAAAGAAAAATGGATAAGGTCAAAAGACAGAAGAAACAATGAAAGATGATGTTATTATACTTACAGTAACTTTTAATATTGTAAAGCCTGTTTCTTTTATGACAGTGATTGAAATTTTTATTGTCCTTTCAAAGGAAAATGTCCTCCTTTTTTTTTTTTTAAACATTATGCATATAAATTACATGATGGATCGAAGGAGGCTTTGGCTTTTTCCAATAACACAGTCAATTTTCTTCATGACTAGTGATGATAAGAATATGAACTGTCCAGCTGGGCATTTAATTGCAGTATAATATTGGGCATCATTAATCAAACAAAGCAGTTAAAGGTCTTGATTTGCCCTCTATGAATCTGTCAGCTAATACTGCATTTGTAAGGAAGACTGCAGATTTTCTATTCTAATAAGTAATACGTGAGCTGAACTAGTGGGGTATATATTTATTGATCAAATGGATTCCATTTTTGTTTCTATATGTAATTCAAATAAAGGGGAATAGACTATCAAGGCTACAGAGT